CTTGTTCTAACATAAGGCGACGAGGTGGCAGTGCCTGGTACGATACGCCAGCGCCAAGTGAGTGTTCTGTCTAAGTGAAGCGAACGAAAACCCCGTATAACTGCAATTGGCCACGACATCGACAACATGCAAACACAGATACTTTAGGCATTAATTCCGACGTTTTAAAAAGTGGAGTTGGAAAACTAGCTGAAATTACACAACCATTTGTTCCTCTAATTAGTCCTGTATTTATAATTGTATCGGAAGCAGTGAAGATTTATGAAAATGCTAAGCATAACAAAAATATTTGTGCTTCACTATTGATGAGAGTTAATATTGCAAGGACCAATGTTGAAATTTTACAACTCTAACCTAGAATTTGTGATCATAAAGCATTCTATCGATTTGTGGAAATATTAAAGAAAATGAAAGATTTCATGAATGACGTTTCAAACTTGTCAGGCTAGAAGAAATATGCATTGGCAAATTCAGTCCATGAAACTTTTATACAATTGATTTCCGAATTCGATAAAAGCATGGATGATTTACATTTCATGATAACTATTTCTAATGAACAACAAAGAAAATTAGACCAAGAAAACCTCAATTATGACATTGAAGAAATGAAACAGGTAAAATTTATGAATACCTTAAAATTTTGCACTATATAAGTAATCTTGTATTTTTTAGTTTCTGGAAATAATTGCCGGAGGTGTTACAGACACGAAGTCGCATATCAACACAGTTATTAACAAAGTGCAAATTATTAATAAGAAGGTGGATCATTTAATTCATGATCCTATTAATAATATGATAAACTTTAAAGCAGTTAAAATTAATCCAAAAGAGTTAGATGATCTTCCCAACACAGAAACAAAAAAATCTATTGTTAAAAAGTTATACCGAGTGAATGATGTTGCTTGCAAATTTACAAACATCATAGACAACGAGACATCAGGAAGTCAAAAGATTCAAGCGCAACTTGTAATTTTAGGAAAATTAAAAGAGTGTCCAAATATTTTAAGATTCTATTGGCTCTCTAATGTGAATGATAACCAAGTTATGGTGTTTGAATGGGCGGATAAAGGAAATCTCAAAGAATTATATGAAAAAAATGATATTAATTGGGATGAAAAAGTTCACATTGCTTTAGATATTTGTCGAGGTTTGATATTTTTACAAAGTTGTGATATCCTTCATCATGATATTAGGTGCAAAAACATTATAGTAAATTTTATATTTTTCAGAAAGTTTTCTAGACTTGTGTTTTTTTTTGATTATAATCTCCTTTCTTTTTATTAACTATTAGATGACTATGTGACATCAACCAAAAATTGCGAATTTCCGATATTCTTGTGAAACAGACCAAAATACTATATCCATTAAAAATACAAAGGACATAGTGAATTGGATGGCACCTGAAAAAATGTCTGGGGGTCGATATAATTTTAAATGTGAAATTTTCAGGTCAATATAATTATAATACTTTATATTTTGCATATTGTACATAATAGTTATCGTGAAACACTTTCATTACTTTTTGGCATATTATGTCTATAATTATAAATCACACGATAACATCGATATTGAATCACCAATACCTTACACAGTAATTATTGACGATTTAATTCTAATATTGCAGTTTTGGAATGTTACTTTGGGAGTTGACATTCGAAAAAATTCCATATAAAGATTTGGACATGAATACAATAATGAACTTTGTTGAAAATGGC